TTTCCCTCTTCCCAGACAAACTCCTAGCGGCAACATTTCCCCTCTGGCAGCAGGCGTGCGGAGCTATCTTGTTATTAACAACAATGAGCCATCATCGTACATAAAAATAAAATGGAGTCTGGGGAGCAACAAGATACAGCAATTCTAGCGAAACTGAACATTAACTGAACTCAAGTGCTTTGGACCACTGAGGCTTTAAAAGAGACAGACTGCACGCGAGGCTCTCCTCCGGCCGTCTAGTTTCCGTTGACTTTGATGTGGTTTTCCCGATTTGCGCCAAACATTAGCTAATCTGGGACTGAAAAGGGGTTGGTATTTGGGTGGGAGACCGCCAGGGAAGTCCAGGGTTGCTGTGCAGAGGCAGGCAAGGGCAAAACAACTTCTGAAAGTCTGTTGCTTGACCCCCTTCGGTGGTTTCCACACGTTGGCTGCGACTTGGCGGCATCTTCCACCACCGCCAGGACTGAGAACAGGTAAATGAACATGGCTACAGAGGGTAGCTAAGCAGTTAAGAACATAAGAACCTAAGAGAAGCCAATGTTGGATCAGGCCAGTGGCCCATCCGGTCCAACACTCTGTGTCACACAGGGGCCAGAAATACCAGGTGCCCTCAGGAGGTCCAGCAGTGGGGCCGGGACACTAGAAGCCCTCCCACTGTTGCCCTCCCCAAGCACCAAGAAGACAGAGCATCACCTGCCCCAGCCTGTGAGTTCCTATCTATACCTTGTGGCTAATAGCCACTGATGGACCTCTGCTCCATTGTTGTTGTTCAGTCACACAGCCGAGTCCGACTCTTCACGACCCCGTGGACCACATCACGCCAGGCCCTCCTGTCTTCCATCGTCCTTAATTTCACGTTTGTTGCATCGATAACGCTGTCTAACCATCTCATCCTTTGCTGTCCCCTTCTTCTTTGACCTTCAATCTTTTCTGGCATCAGGGTCTTCTCCAGTGAGGGCTCCCTTCTCATGTGGTGGCCAAAGTAGTTGAGCTTCAGCTTCAGGATCTGGCCTTCCAGGGAACAGTCAGGGTTGATTTCCTTTAGGACTGACTGATTTGATCTCCTGGCAGTCCAGGGGACTCTCAAGAGTCTTCTCTAGCATCATAATTCGAAAGCATCTGTTCTTTGGCACTCGGCCTTTCTTATGGTCCAACTCTTGCAGCCATACATGACTACTGGGAATACCATTGCTTTGACCATACGGACTTTTGTTGGCAGAGTTAAAAGTGGTTTTATGTGGCCCTGAACTGGATAGACCAGGCAAGCCCGATTTTGTCGAATCTCGGGAGCTAAGCAAGGCCAAACTGTGGTTAATACTTGTATGGGAGACTTCCTTGGAATATCAGAGGCGGGAGGACAGGGGCAGGCTATATTCAGCCACCTCTCTGGAATATCCTCCAGACCGCCCAGTACGGGTCAGTCACCAGAGGTTGCCATGACTTCCAGGTATAGACATGCACGCACACAAATACCCCCCCCCCAAAAAATACACAAACCCAAAAAAAATTATTCTCTTTACATTATTCTGTAAGATAAAGTCAGTTCGCTTCAGCCCATTAAATGTTGCAGAGTGCGCTTGATTTTAGGTCTCTAGTCTTTAAAGGCTTTAATCAACATGCTTTGGCTAATTTCTGGGAAACTTAAAGTCATTGGGGGGGGGGGGAACGACACACTTTCCTGGGTGAAATGGAAATTGAAAGATTTTCCTGCAAGCCTAAACTTATTCTGTTTTAACATAAAATATGTCATTTATAATTAAGCATACATAATTGTTCATATCCCCGTATATACCGCCTTTCCCCGTATATACCTCAGAGAACACTACGGTCTGGGTCTCAAAATCGGTTCACCCTCCCTGGCCTGAGGGAGGCCAGGCTAGCTGCTACTAGGACCAGGGCCTTCTCTGTGGCGGCCCCTACCTGGTGGAATGAGCTCAAGGAGGAGATCTGGGCCCTGCGGGACCTTTCACAGTTCCGCAGGGCCTGCAAGACAGAGCTTTTCCACCAGGCATATAACTAGAGGCCGCCGCCGCCGCCGTCTTCGTGCGCGGCCCATAATGTTGACATCAGCAACTGCCTCAAGAATGAGCAATATAACATTCAAACACCTATGTGGAATAACATCGAAGCACTTTATTTGAATACATCTCATTGGTTTATCTTCTCTGCCGCCAGTACTTTGTAACATTTGTAATGCATTATTTTAATCACCGTGTTTTAATTCTGTCTTATTTATGGTTTTCTCTTGTATTGTTGTGCAAGCCGCCCTGAGTCTGCTTTGCGGGGATGGCAGGGTATAAATTTGATTATAAATAAATAAATATATATATATTTCCCCCCTGTATTTATGGAATTTGAGGTCCCTGCCACACGGGGGGGGGGGAGGTACGGGCAAAGTGTGGCTTTTGGAAGCCGCACCAAAATAGAGACGCCGCGGTGGGATCACATTGATCCCCTGAGCCGCGGCGCATTTCCTCCCCGGCACGATCAGATGCCGGGGGAAGCCACAGTGGGGAAAGGGAGGCTGCCGAACTGTGCATGTGTGAGCATGCGCAGTTCAGCCAGGACCCTGGGATGCGCCGGTAGAAGGACGTGCCGGCGATCCCACGGCCAGGCTTGATGCGGCCGTGCTGGAAGGTCCACCTCGGTAGGTGGCTTAGTTTTGCTGTGGCTTTTCGGCTGGAAGGGCCAGATTGGGGACGGGTGCGCAACACTTCCCAGATGTTGCGGTGGGATTGCGCCCGTTTGCTGTGCCCCCGATCCGTCCCTCTCCCAGCCCAAAACCTTTCGTGTGACCGGGGCCATCGAGTATAAATGCTTTAAATATATATCTCAAAATAAAATACTGAATATTACTAAGGGGATGCTTTTATTGTAAAGTGACACAACTTTAAGGTTTCTGAGTGTATTTCCCCTTCTCCTTCCAAATTTTGGCCAGACTTCATGTTGGCTCCAGTCTCTGCTCCCCTGCTGTCAAGATCCACAGCAAGACAACGAAGTACACGCTTGTAAGAAGGTTTTACTTTTATTGAAAAGCCATAGATGCAGTAACATGAACACTGCTGGGAATGGCGGGGTACCTATGCGCCTAACAGGATATAGGGTATTCGTATGCACCCCCCCCCCATGTACTACCCAACTAGATGGGCTCCCGCGTGCGGGCATTTGGCAGATTCACTAACGGCCGGGCAGCTGGGAAGCTAGAAGCTCCCACGAAACGTAGACAGCACCAACTCCTCCAGTAACCTTGAAAGATACGCGTTACAGCTTTGAAGCACACAAGGAATGCAAAGCAATTAAGACAGACACAGTACACTCATGGCAGCTTCAGCTGACACCCGCACCAGATGCTTTTACCTTTTCTTCCTGTATCTTCGGAGGGGTTCCCCCCCCCCCAGAACTTCCACGTACCCCCTGCCTTGACCACACAAACACAGCCTTCCATGCCGTTCTCCCCAATTTTGGCCAACCCAGCCGGGATCCCCTCTGCCCCACCTCTGGGGGGTACTTTCGCACCTTCGGTTCCTCCTCCTCCCTCTGACCTACCTGGAAAACCACCACTTTCCCATCGTCTGACTGCAGGTAGAAAGTCCACGTAGAGGAGATGAAACTTTGGGCAGAGCTGACGATGTCATTGCAGAAATTGGAGACCAGGTCGAAGACGGAGAACGAGGCCGGTTTCAGATCTGGAACCTGTCCAAAAGGAAAAGAGGTGAACACATGAAGCCGCCTTATACTGAACCAGACCCATTAAGGTCAGTCTGGCCTACTCAGACTGGGCGTGGGTCTCCAGGGTCTCTGGCGGAGGTCTTTCACATCGGCTACTGCCTGGTCCCTTTAACTGGAGATGGTGGGGATTGAACCCAGGAACTTCTGTATGCCGAGCAGATGCTCTGTCACTGAGCTACAGCCCTTCCCTCTTAAGTGAGTGCTGTCTGACCCCTTTATGCCCTCCTATCGTTAACATCTACCTGACAGGCTGTCCCTGGCAGGTAACAGAGCAAAAAAAAAAAAATCTCTGGCCCCGGTCGCACGGGCCAGATAACGC